GGATTGTTTTGGAAGGAGATGTATACAGATTTGGTGAATAAGAAAGCTAAGATTGAAGGACAAATAATGGAAGTTTCACGTTCTCTTTGTGGAATGGAGGTATTCAATTATTAAACCTTCAATTACTGAGTTTCCTTTTATTTCTAGTATGTTTATCTGCTTTTGAATCTTTGTCCGATAATTTTAAACATGTGGTGATTACTGATTAATGCTGCACTAATGAATACTTGACATCATTAGTAAACATTTGTTAGTATTAATTAGTCAATATTTTAGCGATGATCGGTTATTTACGGTGCCTTTGTTTAAAGATTTAACTAATTTCATACATTGACTTAAATTAATGGTAATCATGCAGGTTTTAATGGATAAGCTAAAATCATCCGTGGAGGAAACAAACAAAACAAAATCAACCCCAGCATCGTTACTACAAATGGGGTCAACAATATCACCTGCCGTTACAACGAAAGTAATAATACCAGAAGACAAAGCCGCTAAAATAAAAAGACTGAAGAGCGGCTTCAGGATATGCAAGCCCCAGGGGAGTTTTATGTGGCCAGACATGACAATATCGGTTAAAGATGTAATCCCTCTTGATGATCTCATTATGGTCCCAACACCTCCCTCGGTTTCCTCTTCCTCCACGTCACCACCACACCTCCTCTCTCCCGACCTTTCCCAAATGGGAAAGCATTCAATATCCCTAGTCAAGCCACGGCCTGAGAGGCATCCCATTGATGTGGTTCCCAACAACCAAAATGAGACGACCACCACTGCTGTTTCATTTGCTATGAGGCAAACCGTGGGAGGTGAAAGAAAGGAAATATTAATGGATTGTGAGCAGAAGAGAAGGGGATGCTCCTCAACTTCATCATCATCTTCTTGGCTGGCTCTAGCCACCCCGAATCCACCTTTGCATAAACGGGGTTGAACATTTATTATTATCATCGTCATCATGACCACCCAATTTATATTTATATTTGCTGTTTTAGCAAGGAAAGAATGATAGTTTGGCTCTTATATTATATTTTTACCTCATTTGGTATTTACTTATCCCAACCATATAAATCCTTACAACAATATACATATAAACACTTAAAAACCCTGGGCCTGTTTCACACCGGAACCAACCGAGCTTGAAGCACAGTTGGTTTTGCCTGGAACTACAAACTTATAACAACTGACTATTAACTTACAGTTTCCCCTCAAAAACTTGGAAGATAAATACATTGCCTCTGCTATCGCATTTGGATGACAAAATTGAATATCTAAAAGACAAACTACATCAGAGGTATTGTCGAAGGCTTTCGCCGCTCATTGACTCCATTTCCTTTATAATATCTTGAGCTAGAGATTTGACAGGTAACTCTACATCCTCTAGCAATTCACCAAGGAAGGGTATTGTTTCAGCCAACAAAACCAGATATTCAAACTTGACACGTTAATCAAACTGGGTTTTGAATGCAAATAAGAGCTACATTAAGCAAAATATGTACGTCAAGTAAAGAAATTGATTCCAAAAGTATTGAAGGCTGAGCCGTCAAGGGAAAACCGCCCCAATACTTATGCTTCAAATGACAGTAATGGCTGGTTATATCTTCCTAGTTCCTGAACTTTCAGGATCACATTTAGATACTTAAAGTTAAGGTCCCAAAGTCTTATTGCAGAGTATCAAATCAGGGCATTTAAAATTCACGAGGGATTAACCTCCCTACAGGAGCACAGACACATCAGATATCAAAAACTCACCTCATGTTTCAGTGGTTTCCACAGAAGGTCAGTTCCTGCAGTAACAGCCATCTGACCAACAAGTCAATCAACTTCCTCCACAGATGGTACATTCACATGCTCTTCCAGATCAGCTGCTGGTCCTGCAATGAGCTGCAAAACAATAGGTTTCAATAGAACCTGCAAAAACACACAAAGCACTTTCAATATTCAATAAAAGCAAAACAAGGAACAAAAGGCGAAAGAATCAAGAAGAGGGACTGCACTAAGTTTCCACTATGATTAAGAGGTTCGGTATGAAATCATCACTGTTAATAGTACAAAGTTTTTAGAGACAAATCAGAAAAAAAACTCTCTCCAACTATACCATAGTTAAACCAAGACGGCCCACAAAAGAAACATTTAAATTTTTAAATTTTACAGCGGAAACATATTCTGTAACAAAGGAAAAAGATCCTCCTTTAGTAAGCATAATTAAGATTTAATTTCCCTGGAGTTCAGTATTTAGAATACTCCCTAAACAATATATATAACCAATAAGATTGTAACTCCCAAGGTAACTATAGAATATTAGGTTCTACAATATGAAATCAGCTGGCCAAATTGTTATAAGGATTTAGGAATTTGAGTACAGATTTTCAGTATCAACTGCATGATTAATCTTGGTAGATAAACCAGGGTTAGCAGTTAATAAACCTTAATTGTGTAAAACGATTAGGAAAATTATGAACCCAAATCTTAATGCAAAGTTACTAGACTCCCTTGATTAAAATTTGTAGAAGTAGGCAATTTAAAAATTAAGATTGCCAATGGAAGGATCAAGCCGCAATTCACCAAGGTACCACTGGTAAAATATATAGCACATCAAGGGAATATCTAATATTGAGATAACAAGAAGTTTGGCCGCAAATCCAACTTCACAGGTAGCTGCTCCAAAAACAATTAAAATCTGACACAAAAAGCTTGAGGACTGAGATTTTTATTTGTCAGTTAGAGCACCATTCTAACTAGTTGCCATACACTAATTAATAATGAATTCCATGTAGCAGAATAGGTAGAGATTGACTAGCCTGAAAATTTGAGGAATCAAGAAACTTCAGGCTCCCAGTATCATAGAGAAAACATTTATGTAATGACGATATAACCAAAGCCCTGAGCTGCCAGTTATTAATTGATAATGAACTGTTCTGCTCTTTTACAGTGCCTGCTTCCAGAGTCCTAGCCTTCTTTTTTTTACGAGTCAAATTAGCAGTGTTTACATCTCCAGTGTCAGTAAGATGCCGAACACAACCCTCAAGTAAGTACTTGAAATAAGGGACAAACAAAGACCAGCATTTAAGTGACATGAATCAATGAGAAAATGCTATGCTCCTACTTAAAAAACTGAAAGAAATAGGTAAATTTCTAAAATATAGAATAACTACTACTTAGCTGGGAAAAATTTACGCCCGCACACACACACACGTGTACATACACACTGTATAATTGTATAGTAAGATAAATGATTTTGGTAGATTTAATCCCAGCACACCTAGGTCATAAAATCCCACCTTCTGTCCAATTATAAAATGTGCTCATTTTTTTTGAGAAACATACAGTCATTGACACGTCATGCTGTCTAAATCTATATAATTTAGGCCATAACAATTCAACCAACAAATTCTCAGCTATATCCATGAGGCTAAGCCAGAACAAATATCAGGATCATTGAAATATGGAAAGCTAACATATGCCATGACAGAAACAAATAAAATTAGTTGACTTACCGGTGATTCTCACTAAGTTTATTTACAAAGCCATAGAAAGTTGTTGCCCTTTCTATACTTTTGCTTCCCATAGAGACAATGTCTTCCACTTCTGACTCTGCCCATTCTACACTTCTGATAAAAAGAGGCCTAAACATAGTCTCCGTTAATTTCATTGTAAGAGCAATCATTGTTGTGAAGACATTCTTTTCTACAATATCAATGTTCTGAACCGAATTACGGTGTTGGCGGCGAAGATCAAGAGCAATCAAGCACTGGTCAAAAATCTTTCCATGGAAACCACCAATAGATGATCTATCCATTCTCACAACAACATTTCCTAGCATTTCGAAAGCAATTACCAAGCTTGCATCATCAGCATCAACAGCACCAACTTATATTTTCAGCAAAGGTGGCAGAGCAAGTTGAACCTTTAGAACAAAGGCCAAGCATTTTATATTAATTGCAAAGAATGCATAAAAAACTTTCAGTTGAAAGTCAATAATCAACATTCTTGTGAGGATACCTAAAGGGATTTTCTCAGTGAGGAGCCTTCGAACTGCATCAGCTTTCACTTTCAGTTTTGGATCTGATCCCAGCAAATATTCAGGACGAAGCACCAAATTTCTGTAATATCTCCAAGATATGGATTTAGAAAACCACCAAGCTTGTCTATCACCACCTCCAAGGTGATAAGAATAGATGCCGTCAGAAATTCTCTCAGAGCTACGTTAACATCAGCATCATTTTTTAAGTCAATAGTGGTAGAGATTTCATGTGACTTCTGTATCACATTCTCCATTATACGAGGCAGCTCCACCAATGCCTTTGGCCCAAGCTATAAGAGATAGCCAGGTTCTGAGAACTAATGCTGTTTGTAACAGATGCAAAGCACATGTTGAAGACAGAATGATAAGAAGGAAACCTATTGGCCAAACCCTCTAAAGTTGTAACTGCTGCCACTTTTAATGAAACATTTGATTCTACAACGGAGTCATCAACTATTTGAGCAATTTCCAAGCACATCCTATTGAAAGATTCAAAAGCATTCTCATCCAGATGAAGCCAATGACTATTTGAATTTGGATTCAGTTCTCTTCTCCCCCTGTGCTTTGGTTTAACTGACTCATGACCCGTCACTGTTTCACATAAAAGCCCAAGAGCCTGTTCACAAGTAAAACTTTCTACATTGAAAATGAACTAATATGAAAAATATAGGTACAAAAGGAATAGTAACAAAATCCCTTAAAGCGTATGCATCCACTTGTAGAGTATACACTTGTGTAACCAAAAGTAATAGCATTCAGTGCATGAGACATGTAAAAGGCAATGATTTGTAAGACACTTCCCCAGCGAAAATTGATGTTTCTAACATATCAACCAGTTAAAAAATTTGTCTAAAGCCTTTCTTATATACAGAAGTTAGATCACAAAATGCATTAAGCAAACCACATACCTTCTTTCTCACATTGCCATCAGCATTCCTAAGCAAATTAATGATGCTTTAAACGTATGCAGAGGGCATCTTAGTTGCTTGCTTCGTCTGTCAACATATTGTAAGAGGAAAACAATCTGCTCCATAAGTTCTTCAAGTTTACTCTGCATAGTCAAATACCCATAAGATTAAAACTCAGAAATAAACGAAATTACAGTTGACTGAGATATTATGCTGCAGCATTCCTACTGATCACACACAGGCCATAGCAATATGTATATGTAACCTTGATGATTGCACCCCTATAAAAAGGACAGACAACGAACTCTAAAAGAAAGCAACATAGATTATCTCTCCGTCGTTCATAAGTCAATTTATGCTCTGTGTAATACTGTAATATGGATCCAGAAGGTAAAAGAAGAAATCTGTTTACCACAGAATGTGGCATGCAGTTGTACAGCAAGCTTACAGAGACTCAGTAGATTTCTTTCTCGAAGTCTGAACACAAGATCCAAAGGATATCTCACCAGTTGATTATTTGTGTCAACTGTTAACAAGTCATCAAATCCACTTCGCCCAATATTTTTTTTAACATATGTCTGTGTGTGTGTTTCCCATTAAAAAAAAGAAAAAGAAAAGCAAAGTATTTACCAAATTCAAAAAAAAAAAAAAAAAAAAAAAAAAAAAAAAACCGTATTCCACCATGCAAGAGATACTTTTGTTACTCCATCAAGGTTTTATTTTTTTCTTTTAAGAAAAACTATTGTACGAAAAGAACGTTGATTTACAAGGAAGGAGTTTGAAGAGTAGACAAGCAATCAACAAAAACATGCTCAAAAAAATAAAAACCTGATGACGCCACAAAACCAGGAAGCTCCTCACGTACCCAAAATACAGCCACCGGAAAAAAATACATGACAAACAACTGTTGATCAGGGCGATGCAACTTCCCATGAAAATATACTCCATCATGTTTATTTAAAATTCGTTAAAAAAAAAAAAAAAATTAAGTTTCATTGAGGTTGGTAGTATAAATCAAAATTCTTTTGACTGGTTGTAAAAGCTGTATTGGTCACCATAAAGTAATACCAAATCCTGGAACTACCTAACTTCAATGACTGCATCATAGTATGTACCATGTTCAGCTTTTGCTGCCTGCTACCCAGTAATTCAAATTACGGATAGCAAGACAAGGTTGAAGGTGCCTAGGACATGTCAAGACTATAGGGGTCAAATGGCATTGTGGTTCCCTAGTTGTTTTAAATCTTATACTTACTATATAAAGAAGTCCCCCAGCTTTCTCATGACATTTGATCACCAAATTCCCTCAGTGAAAAAAAAAAAAAATAAATAAAAAAATACCTAACCCACAAAATTCCAGAAACTGATCCAATAACTTCTTCTACTAACAAATGCTAGGTTTAATAATTCAGAAGCAGATGAATTCTTACCTGAATGCTATCTGAATCTTCAGTTAATTCACGCTTAAATGCAAATTCTGGATCTTGCATTTTGTGCAAAACGAATTGAATTGCAAGTAGCAATTCCATAAAAACTACTTCCAAATTACCACTCCCTATTTGTTGAAGCATCATAACAAGCGAAGGAAGCCATATGACACAAGAATATTGCTCACATATTTGCACAGCAAAAGCATACTCTCTTTGTGCGAAGATGTAAAGTTATCTGAACTGTGTGCATCACCAAGGCAAGATGATCCTTTCCTTGAAACTAAGGATCGGAAAAGGAGGACAAGCAATGAAGCCGAACTATCACATTCTCCCAAAGTCCTGAAGAAAAGCATATTAACTTTAGTAGTAAATACAGAACCAACAGGAATACTAAAATGTAAGTCCAAATAATACCTTAATAGGTACACAACAATTGACAGCCTTCTGTGCTTAGCAACATCAGGCAACACATTCACAAAAACCTAAAGATAAAATTAAGCAGATCAGAACACAAACAACTATCACAATTGGAGCAAGGGGCTTGTAACAAAAAAACTTTTTGATAAAATTACCTGAAGCAATTCGTCCTTCTTGTTAGATTTCAATAGTCAACAGGGGACAACTGCAGATATGAGATCCTCAAAAACACGTTGGGAATGGCTGTGGCCGAAATATGGAATGGTTCTTTTCCCTTGATCTCTGCTGGCTGAGATTAGGGAGTAAATTAAGGTTCAATCAATCACCTTAATTCATGTGATTGATGGAACAATTTACAGGAATTTTGTATTTATTGTTTTCCTTTTTTACAATTACACAATTGTATAAATTGGCTATTGTACATATTTACAAAATATAATACACTCAAAATTCTCTACGTTTCTTTTCTCTTTTCTCTTCTTAGGCATATTTTGGCAGCATAGTCTTGCTTCTCTTGCCTTCTCTTTCAAACTTTGATATGGTATCAGAGCCTCTGATCTGAATCCAGCTTCCGGATTCTCTCAAATCAGCTAGCCATTTTTTTCTTCTGTCCCTGCAAACAAACAGATACTCGGTTATTGATTTCCTCTTTATTTTACAACTACTCAAAACTCCAAAATGGAGATAAACCCAAATCCAAATATCACAGACAGCCCAAACACAAGCCCAATCCTCATAGACAATCCACACCCAAACATTACAGACGGCCCAAACCCAACAATCACATAAGCCCAACATTCCAACCCAAACCACCAACCTAAACATGATCCAAGCCCAATAACCCACCCATTTGGAATGTCGGGGTACATCCCAGATCCTACACCTCCAACGGGTCTGGGTTCAAACGCAAATCCCTACTCGTTTCCCTTTCACCTGATTCCAACCATCGACAACGACAACAATCGCCCTGTCCCAGGCAACGTGCTCTATGCACACCCCTCTGATGGCCCCGAATTGGTTCTCATCAAGAACACCTTAACAGGTTTCAAAAATTATTCCAGTTGGGCATGCGATTTTCACTGAGCCTTGATAACAAAAGATAAACTTGACTTCTTTGATCCAAACTCCCAGCCACCGTCTGACTCCCACCTTCAATTGCACTAGCACCGTTGCAATATGCTGGTTTGATCGTGGCTCAGCAATTGTTTGTCATCAGAGGTGGCGGCTGGTCTTCCTCCGACTGAAGTCATGGCTGAGATGTGGGGAAATATTCGGGAAATGTATGGGAAGCTTGATCTAGCCAAAATTTTCCATCTCTGGCAACAACTTGCCAAGATTAAGCAACAAAGCTCTTCGGTAACCTCGTTCTTTAATCGACTCTCCGCTGTTTGGAACGAGCTTGATGTGACAGAAGAAACCCTAGAAGGGCCACTTGCAACTCTTGCACAATGGGCGAGGATTTGCGATTGTGACTGATTGAGCCATTTTCTCCTCGGTTTGAACGATGATTTCCTTGCTTTTCGCAGCCAAGTTCTGGCCACATCACCACCTCCCACTCTCCGGCGGACTTTCCAACTCGCCGTTCAAGATGAGAATCAACGACAGGTAAATGATAGAAATCGACAGACTCATGGGTTGGCTTTTGCAGGTTATCAGTTTCTGGAGAAGGAAGGGTCGAATGGGGATATTGGGCAGCTAGGGCAAATGGAAGAAAAACATGTTCTTTTATATGCAAGTCAAAGTGGATCTGACGATCAGAAACATGTTGTGTCATTCACTTCATCCAATGGCTCACAGGATGCCACATCATGAGGCGGGTCAAATGGGCCAAGCAGTTGGGCTTCTGGGTCAAATCACGGGTCAAACAAACCCAATAGTTGGTCAAATGGGCATACAGGGTCAACCAACCCCGAAAATTCAAAATCAGGCAAGGGTAAACTATTTTGTGAATACTGTAAATGGAGGAATCATACTTGGGACAGTTGTTGGCAATTAAATGGGTATCCCAACAAAGACAAAACTAGAAATTCTTCAGTCAATCATGTCGTGCTATCCCTACAGAACCTCCAATTATAGCACCTCTGATCACCTCCAATCAATATCACCACTTTCTCCAAATGCTGAATAAAATCCGAACAGCGCCCACAACATCCTATGCAAGTATTTCTTACTGCTTAAATTTTATTACGACTGATATGTGGATTATTGATTCAGGGGCTAGTGATCACATTATTTGCAACCTTAAACTTTTCACCACTATATCCACTACCTCATCCACCTCCGTTCATATGCCGAATGGAAACATAGCCCCAGCCACTCATATAGGGACCGTGAAATTATCTACACATTTACAACTTACAAATGTCTTATGTGTCCCTACATTCCATTTTAACCTCATCTCTGTATCAAAATTATGTTATGATAATAGTTGCACTGTGAAATTTTGTCATAATACCTGTGAATTTCAGGACCCTTCGACTGGGACACTAATGGGTTTGGGTAAAGCTAATAGAGGTCTATACTACTGGGTTCCTAGTGCATCTTCTAAAGTTATTTCTCCTTGTATTACATCTAATAAAATATCCAATTGTAATACAATGCTTAATAAAACTTCTGTTATTCTCCATAACAGATTAGGTCACGGTGCCACTATCCCTCATCCCAAATGTCAAATATGTCCCTTAGCTAAACAAGCAAGAATTAGTTTTCCACATAGCATATCCACCGCCACTCAACCTTTTGCCCTGATCCACCTCGACATCTGGGGCCCATATCACACCCTCAATCATGAAGGATCCAAATTCTTTCTTACTATTGTTGATGATTTTTCCCGGGGGACATGGACTTTTCTCATGCAATCTAAAACCCAAACACTTGCCCACATTAAACACTTTTTTCTCTATGGTCAATACCCAATTCCATACATCAGTCCAATGAGTTAGAACCGACAATGCTAGAGAATTTTTCAACCATAGTTGTTCTTCTCTATTTTTATCCCTTGGCATTCTTCATGAAAGTTCTTGCACACATACCCCATAACAAAACAGAGTTGTTGAAAGAAAACACCGCCATCTCTTAGAGGTAGCCCGGGCCCTAAAACACCAAGCCACCATTCTTGTCTCATTCTGGGGTGAATATGTGATCATAACCACATATCTGATCAACCGCATGCCGATCAGAGTTCTTCATGGGAAAACTCCTTATGAGTTATTATTCAAGAAGCAGCCAACTATTGATCAACTCTGAGTATATGGCTGTCTATGTTATACTGTTACTCTTGGCTCTCATGATAAGTTCGGCTCTTGGGCCACCCGTTATATCTTTATAGGCTATCCCACACTCTAGAAAGGTTACAGACTTTATGATCCAGCTAAAGCCTGTTTTATAATATCTAGAGATGTTGTGTTTCATGAAGACATATTCCCTTTTGCCAACACTAACTAGGTTTCATCTTCATCTCCGCGACTGTTTTCTCATGATGATGCTGTCACTTCCTCAGATCCTCTTTTTTCTATGATACCTATTCCTGAGGCTTCTCAGCAACCTACTATTACCGATTCTGATACTGATTCATCAGCCACTAACAATATTCCAATAGACTCTTCTCCTCCCGATTCTCTTCCATAGTCTCTTGATTCAGTTCCACCTTTACCCATTCGCCGCATTACTCGTTAGACGTAACCACCAATTTGGACAACTGATTATGAGTGTCTTACTATATCACATTCTTCAGGTACTTAGTATCCTACCTCTAATTATGTGACATATGATCATCTTTCTCCTGTTCACCGAGTTTGTATCAGTCGTATCTTTGCTGACCGAGAACCCACTTGTTACTCATATGCGGTCAAACACCCGTTTAGTGGCTAAGGGGGTTCACTCAACGTGAGGGGTTTGATTATTAGGAAACATTTTCCCCGGTCGCCAACCATGTCACTGTCCGTGCCTTTCTTAAAATTGCTTTTGTTCGCGACTGGTCTCTACATCAAATGGACGTTCGTAATGCTTTTCTTCACGGGGACCTCCATGAAGAAATCTATACGGATCTTCCTTCGGGAATTCATAGACAGGGGGAGCAGAAAGTATGTCGTCTGTGAAAATCCCTTTATGGTTTAAAGCAAGCATCCCGTCAATGGAATGAGAAATTCACAGCATCTCTCACTAACATGGGATTTGTCCAGTCCAAACATGACTATGCATTGTTTACTTGGCATAAAGGTAAAACATTTATTGCTCTAATTATCTATGTCAATGACATTCTCATTATAGGGAATGAACATCTCAACAGAAAATTCCAAATAAAGGATCTGGGAGAGCCAAAATATTTTCTAGGAATTGAAATTGCAAGATCTTCAGTAGGGATATCTCTCGGTCAATGGAAATATGTCTTAGAACTCATTTCTGATTCTGGGCTATCAAGATGCAAGCCAAGTGTTATTCCAGTAGAACAGAACACCAAGTTAACCAGTCAAGGATATGACAATGGGACATCATCCTCAGAAAATGATCCACCTTTGGAATATCCTACAAACTATCAAAGACTTGTTGGCCGCTAATTTACCTCACAATGACTCGATCAGACATCAACTATGCGGTTCACATTCTCAGTCAGTTCATGCACTAACCTAAACAATCTCACATGGATGCAGCAATAAAGGTATTGAAATACTTAAAAGGGTGTCTTGGTCTGGGGCTTCTCCTTCCTCGTAACAAGGCTTAGATATCACAGCACATTGTGATTCAGACTAGGCTACATGTCCAATGACAGGAAAATCACTCACTAGGTTCTGTATAAAGCTAGGGGAAGCACTTATTTCTTGGAAAACCAAGAAACAAACTACCATATCCCTCTCTTCAGCAGAAGCCGAATACAGAGCCATGGCAAAGATGACATGTGAGATCATCTGGATTCTGGGGTTACTGAGAGATCTAGAAGTGCAAGTAAGTAAATTGGTTCTTTTATATTGTGACAACAAAGCTGCAAACGACATAGCAACAAATCGAGTATTTCATGAAAGAACGAAATATATAGAAATTGATTGCCACTTTGTTAAGAGCAAAATACAAGAAAGGGTAATTAAGACTCTACACATTCGTACTTCTGAACAACCAGCAGACATCTTCAAAAAATTATGCAGCAGATAGCATTCATATCTACTTAGCAAGCTTGGAGTTTTTGATATCTACAAACCACAAGCTTGAGGGAGAGTGACGAAATATGGAATGATTCTTTTCCCTTGATCTATGCTGGTTGAGATTAGGGAGTAAATTAAGGTTCAATCAATCACCTTAATTCATGTGATTGATGGAACAAATTACAGGGATTTTGTATTTATTGTTTTCCTTTTTTACATTTACACAATTGTATAATTGGCTATTGTAAAAATTTACAAAATATAATACACACAAAATTCTCTACGTTTCTTTTCTCTTTTCTCTTCTTAGGCATATTCTGGCAGCATAGTCATGCTTCTCTTGCCTTCTCTTTCAAACTCTGGCAGCTGTCACTCTGTATAGACAAACATGAACAATGTAGATAACATTAAACAATACACTGGGGTATAAAACAAGTTTTAATATTAGAAGCCATATCCAACATATAGTAAATGAGGTCCAATCATAGTTCAAGTTAAGGAGGTATTTGTCTAAGCTTATAAGCTAGTCAACTAGTTTGTAAGCTCTAAAATTAAGCTGACAATGTTGTTACAATTTTTTGGGCTTATAAGTTAGGCTTATAAGAAAAAAAAAAAAAAAAAAAAAAAAGTTGGGGGAAGGTACCTTTTTTTTTTTTTTTTTTTTTTTTTTTTTTTTTTTTTTTTTTTTAATAAGCACTTTGCTTATAATTAATTTAACCAAGTATATTATTAATTACCTTATTTAATTTTGAAATTCCGTATTATACCCTTATTTTAATTTCAAACAGGTCATTTTACTCATTTTTAGTTATTTTAATATAATGTACTTATAAACACATTTTACCAAACGTGTCAACTACTCATAAATCACTTTAACCAACACATAACTATTTAAATTTTAAATGCTTATAAGCTTAAATTAGCTTATAAAAACTAACTACTATAAGCTAATTTTCATAAGCTCAAAGAAACACTCCCTAACTCTTCTGCCAAACAGATAATCCGTAAACGAGATTTTTTAGGGTTTAGTAACATTTAAATTGCTTTAAGATCAAAGTACCAAATATGTTAAAATTAAAAAATAACTGAAAATATCACTTTTTTGCTCATAAAAAACCAAGATTGCAATTCACTGAAATATAGAGATAACGACTGAGAGAACTGTTGATTCTCCACTAACAACGAGTATTTCTTACTGCTCCAATAGTTTGTCTAGAACACCTTTGCAATTCCAGATAATAGTGAAATACTGATTCTGAGTTACCCCATCATTTGCAGAATGAGCACATTCAACCAACAGTTTAATGTTTATTATTTGACTATGTCATCCTGGCGTGAAAGATGTGACAACACAAATTTCAAGAATGAAAAGAAAAGCGAAAACGGCAGATATGAACACATGTTCGGGAAAAAAAAAGATTGGCC